TGTAGACAAAGTGATCCCTTTTCTACGGAAGACTGACTTCCTTGAAATAATTGTTTCTAATTTGAAATTTGTAGAAAATTCAGTCCCAAATTATTGATCTAAAACGGAATATAACTAATTCTAAGATATTTTTGTAGCTGCATTATAATAAATACATTCTCCCTGGTTTTTGTCATTTTGACTTTACTTTGTCTTAGAAGCCAAAACTTTAATTCGAGCTTATATTCATGATTCAGCTTAAATTCATACAGATCTTGCCTACATGTTTATCAGATTCGAAATCAGATTTCAATAACATATTGTCCAAAGGCAATCTTATATTACTGGGCCGGGAGCTCGGAAAATAGTTTATATGTGATCTTTTAGGATATTATTTCTAGACCATTAAGACATCAAAAACAAAGAGAGTCCAAAATATCTCCGCTCATTTAAGATAGCCGTCATTTTCAAAAATGTAAATGTCACGTGTATTAGTTTTACATTACAAGAAACCATGTCATTTGTTACAATATAGATTAAATATTGGAAATCATTCTAATAGCTTTTAAACATTGATATGTTTTTTTTTTTTAAATGGATATCTTTAAGCTTTTTGTAACAAAATTACATCCAATGTCAAAATATCCGGTCTTAAATTATGAAAATATATTAAAAATTGCAGTGACAGTCGGCATTTCTACAATATGGTTTTATGTATTTTGATATTCTAAGAGTACCTTCAATGCAACTGGACATTATTCTTCTGTTATGTTATAGCTACAAATTGTTAAACGAACATGTAATAAAGCAGGCATCGTTATAGCGAAATAAGATCTTTAAAATTAAGGAAAATTTTATCTAATCAATTATAGGATTCAGAAGATATAAGTACACATTATATCTACTACTTTAAAGTTTCAATAATCACATGTCTTTATTTGCATTGTGGTATTTGGAGACTTTGAATAGATAAGTACCAATTTCATTTGTAGTTTCAAATTGGCCCGCCTTCTTTTTCGGACTATTTTTGGCAAAATTGTAAAAGTTATTAAAAAAATGGTGTTTAGATAATCAGGGTAAAACGGCATGATTATTCAGTTATTTACAAGCAATAAAACCTATTTGTAAATGAATTTCTTATTGGTGAATTTATTTTTAAATTGAAATTATTTGAATATTTTTAAGCTAATCAGAAAAAGGTGACCGTTATCAACATGAATAAAAAAATATCTGATAATTAAACTCAGATTGGCCGAAGCGTTATTCATGTCAAACTATTTAAAAAAAACAAAAAACAAAAACTAAGCTACCCGCAAGCAAAATGTGTTAGGCAGACACGCTGATGGCCTTTATCAACTTGTAGTAAAAAAGTCTCTAACTAAATGATTAAATGAAGGAGATTGAATAGAAGAAACTCTAAAGACAAAATGGTAATCAACGTCATAACAGTTGTAAACTGTATTTGTTTATTTTTGGAATACTCGAGAAACGATGACAACACAACTGAAGCAACGTGTAAATAATGCAGCTGAACATTTTCCTGTGAAATTGTGTTAGCTAAGTTAAAGTGTATGAAGAATTTTTGTAAATATTAAAAAAACAGCAAAATTACTTTGTTTTAATAACCGTATGGTGATTTTTCGAAAAAAGTTGAAACATAGAATGATGTGCTAATTATCATACATGATTATTGTACGTAAATTAGAATAAAATGTTCCGGAACATAATATTCTCCTACTATTTTCACTTGGTTTATAGATTATTTGGGACATTCTCCCAATTTAAATAAATAAGTAGGTCATTTTCTTTCTTTCCTAGGTATTTTGTATTTATTCTGATCATAGTATTAACAAAACTTGTGCAATCATAACACATCAAAGATATAGCTTTATACACTTTAACCTCTAGAGATAATTAACCTGAAATATCACACTAGGTTAGTTTCCTAGCTATAACAGAAAAATACTAGTCAGAAACAAAAAAAAACCTTGTATATACAGTATATATATACAGGAAAATAAGGCATATAAATTGCTTTTTTAGGACTTGAATAAACGAATAACAACGTAATAGGATGGAACTATATTCATATCCAAATCATCTTTTTATATGTTGTGTTACACAACAATTAACAATGGAGATTCTCACACGAAGTACTTAGACAGAATCCTAGAGTTCATGCGAACACAAACGGAAGGGAAATAGTGTTTGCCTTAAAAGTGACCCTGGGCCATCATTTGAAAGTGACCCTTGTTATGCCAAGGGAAGGACTTGCAATTTGTACAATTCAAAGGGTAGGTGATACAAATTTACATGCCATGATGAAAAAGGTAACCAACTGATAAGTTTACCTCAAAGTTTGCGAATAGTTGAAATGGTGTTTCATATTTCTTGCTATGGTAATAACTGAACCTATTTAACTTAGTTTAATCGATGCAAGTGAAGACTTCAAATGCTGCAGTTTCTTCTATGCTATGTTGCAATATTTAAACTATTACCAAAGAATTTTCTTTAGGTATACTATATTACAATAATCTTAACAGTGTTATTTTAAGTCACATGTAAAATTGTAATCTGTAAAAATACTATTTCCTTCAAGTGGAGGATTTCGTCTATAAATTCTGCTCAATGTTATAACCACACGTTATTTTGCCCTTTTGGGTGTTTTTTTTTCAACTAAGTATCTTTGAACTAAGCAAATTATGACAATGATTACTATTTTAACTGAGAGCTTCTTTTATACCATCTCCATCATTTAAAGTGTCAGTGTTTAAAGGTACAATACGAGCAATTTTATTAAAAAATATTTTAATGCAGGAATATGTATTGCAAGTTGTTTAAGTGTTTAGTTCGTTCAGCTTTTTCTTGCTTATCTTGAGCTTAGGTATTTTAAAGTTTGACTAACCATTACTTGCACCAATCTGTTTTAAATTCATCAAATTCTTTGTCAAACAATTGTATCCCATTTGACATTCATGTGTTGTTGAAAAGTCTTAAAGTATTAGTAAAGTTTTTTTAAAGATAAATTACGCAAATAAGAAATTATTAATTGTGTGTTTTTCTAATTTAATTCAGGATATTTAAGTTAATTTTAGATTGTTTTAAAAACAATCTGTATATTAATAAAACGTTAACAATATTGTTAGTACAAGTAGCATTTCTTTAATTGTTATTTATACACCAATATTTAATTTTTTGTTACATGACCTGTACTGCGAATATATATTGTACATTTTTTATCTTTTCAGCCTGTAAATATCACACAACAAATAAAAGTTTGTAATTTGAAAAAGTTTAAAATATGTTATGTACAGAATACCTTTGTATCATTGTTTGATATGAACGTGTTCACTTCAGTGTTGTTATAAATTTCTGGGCGTTCAAGCCGGTGCTAGGGGGCGTGAGGGATGCTGCACGTATTCATTATCCCTCATGTACAGACTCAATCAAACCGAGTCTGCAATTCTCTTGTAATTTTGTTGTGATTAAGGCTTCCGAGGGATCACTTTGTTTCCAGTTTTTTTATTCATCAATTATCCATAAATATTACTGCTATTTATCGCGCTGAACCATAGTGGATTTGAATACTGATTGATTTCTATAAGGAAATACCGTAGGAAGATTGTCAAAGGACATATTTTTTGCATTGGTGCAACTAATAAACGAAAGTTGCCATATACTTATTTCATAACGCCATGAGTGATGTACTCTGAATGACATGGGTTTAATCGAAATAAAAACCTAAACATTCACTCATTAGCATAAATTATTACAACGACTTGTTAGAGTGTATGTAAATAAAAAGCCAGACTTTTACTTATTAGCATAAACTATTACAATGACTTGACAAAGTACGTCTTAAATAACAACGCAAAATATTGACAAAAAAAATATCACAACATGTCTACTGCGTCGCTATTGCAGTAGGGACTATTTTGCCTATTGTCACATTTGTTTGGTAATTTACGTGGATTTTACTTTGAGGCAAGCTGCTTAGATTATGTTTAATGATATAATTTCAAGAAAAAAAATCCCCATAATTTTATATAAAACAGGGCGGGTTTAATTTTATATAAAGCAGGACAGGAATTCAACAACTTCAAGCGCCATTCACTGTACAATTTTCTGTCAATTATATACGATATATAAAGCAATGATATCCATGTTATGCGATATCTTTCTTGTTATATTTACAATAAAGTATTTACAATAAATTTACTAGTAATATACATATCATGTTACAATACAGAGAAATGCAATGTACACTCATAGAAAACATATTGACACTGGAAATGAAATAAAAATCAAAAGAATTCATGTACATGTAATTGCTATTGAATTATTTAAAGTAAGTAAGCCCTGAAATTGTTTTCTATTGCAAGGGACAATATGTCAACGTCAATTAGGACATTAAGATAAGCTCTTCAAAAATAGTTTGCTACTTGACATTTCTCCGTAGGAATATAATCATGTTCTAATACAAACCACAGGCGTCCAGAACATTTGCTTTGCCAATAATGATCAAATTATTATAAATAATCTCCCATTGATCATCAAGAACAGAATTACTATCCAGTTCCCGTTTACTATATAAAATATATAGAAGGTATATTAACTAGTCGCAGCCTAATACTCCGACACGGTCAATTTTTTGCATTGTTTTAAAAATAAGACATATTTTGATTCTAGTATGTGCAACAGATAAAGATATATTTTTTTAGTAACCGTTAAAAGTAATGAACCATTTGTCTTCATTTAAGATTTACATTCCTTTTCGTTTGAACAGAGATAAACATGATGAAAGTATCGAAGATACAATAATAATGTTAATTGTATCGCATGTTGGCATATAAATGAATGAGCATATGCATATATATCATTAAATCGTACCATCGACAAAACCCTAATTGTTACAAATGAATATAACACACACACGCACACGCGCACACACACACACACGCACACATACACACACAGATAATTTATATAAACAAATTGATTTTGTGACATAGCCCTTAATACTACTTTAATTCAAATATTTTAATGAAATTACGGTCTATGGAGTTCTTGAAATCACTGATGAACATTGTATTTTGCTCTTTAGAAATGTTAATAGAAAATGGATTCAATACATGTTGCACAGAGAAATGCAGAATCTCTTTCGTACCAGGTACAATAACTCCGAGCGAATCGCTGTTTGCTGGATAACAAACAACAGCACACCCACAGTTTGTAACTGTTAATCCTGCTGGTTTATTATTATTCCCGCTTTTACTTTGAGATATCAGTTCGCCCTGGAGTGTAAATTTGTACACCACACGGTTGATACTGTCAGACACAAACATACTCTCATTATCTATACTCAGATAAACGTATGTCGGAGTTTTCAATATGCTTGAATCTCTAACCTGATGAAGGATATGACCTTCCATGTCCAATACCTGAACAGCGGGAGGTTCCATAAAGGACACTGCCATTATATTATTGCGATAATGTATTCCACCACATCCTTTCCTGACATTCAGACTGTGCCTTTCAGTCAAACCGTTCTGCGTATTCACAAACAATAATTTGCCTTTATTTGGTAAACATGTTGCAACAGATGCAGAATTGATTGTTGTTATGCCTGCGGGAAAATCTGACAATTTCAATGTAGAGGTGACTTTATCATCTTTGTAATTTACAACTTTTAACGATTTGTTTGCGTTTTCAGCTAAAAGAATATCGGAATCAGATATAATTGCGATTCCTGTTATATCACAATTGCCTTCGTTTTTTACCTGAACATTAATTTTCTTAACAAAACGTGCCTTCACGTCATGAATACATTTCTTGAATTGCCCCGAAAAAGTTTCTACTTGTGTTGTTAGACTACCAAGGGATGCATTATGTTTCCTCAAAGTATCAAAATCTTCAGATGCTCTAAATTCTAAAGAGTTTATCTGACTTTTGGCTGAAATGTTTTCAATTATTTTTTGACAGTTTTTTAATTTTCTCTGTACACGCTTTGATGTCACAAACAAATTGTTGACCTTGTATTTGCACTGATTCAATTTTCTTTGAAATTCTTTAATTTCATTAGATAATACCTCGCATTGATCTTGAAGCTTTTTCTGGGAAGAGACATCTCTATCATTCACTTCATCAACTTTTTGTAAAACCTCTGCTTCCATTTTGTCTAGATAATCATCCATTTCTTTACGAAAAAGTTTAATTTCTTTGACGACTTCGGCCTTTATTTCATCTGCTGTTTTCAAACTGCATTTTATTTCTTCTTTGCATGAAGCAAGGTTTTCCCCAAGATTGTCAATTCTATGTTTAATGCAAACAAGGTCGATACTGTTGTCATAGTTACTAGACACATCTGAGACAAGCTGAACCTTGCAAGAAGTGTGTTGAAGTACCATACAGTCTCCACAACCAACGCTGTCGTGCTCTTGACAATAAAACTTCACTATTTCGTTTACATGAACATCACATAGTTCAGTGCACGGGTCACTTTTAGTCTGATATGTCGGCATTTCATCTTTGAGTTTGATCACGTGATTTTTGGTAGTTGCCAACTTCCGGTGTGCCTTGATGCATGATGAACATATAAACTCGTTACAATTCTCACAATAACCATCTGCTTGTACAGTATCCCCGTCACGCTGACAAGGCTGGCATGATATAGAAGTTTCTTTACGTCCTGAGACTTCCATTTCAAAGTGAAAAGTCCTTATCAACGAAATTATCGGTCATTTGTCAACACATACGTGTATATTGACATATTTACACAGATAAGATAAAAAGAATTGCTAACACATCCATTTTGTAAGTTGAATTGCACCCATTTGACCATTTTTGATAATTATAATATTTTTATCATTATAATTATATTACATATATTTCTTTTATAACCTTTTAAAGTCTGTCACGTAAATAAAAACATTTATAACGTCATTAATCGTAAATTGTGTCTCAACATAGATAGCCACCTAATTAACATTCAATAAATCCACTTACAAATATGATAAATGTTTTAAAGTAATCAAACTTGATTCAATCCGTCTATATCTCACCTTTATCAAGCGCTTAAACTTTGAAACAAATCATTATTATCATAAAGTAAACATTTTCCGAAAATAACATGAATGATGTTAGATTGAAATCGGTTATTATTTAGTACGCAAAAAAGGGAGATAAATCCGAATGTTTCATAAGTACACAAACTATTCATTTGATAAAGAATGATAAAGTAACGTATATATAGCGATTGCATGCAAAAGACTTCAATTGACTATACATGTTTAATAACAACATAATGTTTTATATATTGTATATTTTATAAGGATATATAAGTTTACAAGGTATTCTGGACCCGAGGAATGGTCGCAACATCGGGTATACAAAACACTTAAAATTACTCTTGTCAAAACTTATGAATTTGCGCAGCTGACTCGACGGCTTCTGGTGTAATGTAAATATAGTCTAATGATATCAGTAGTTTTCTTAAAGGATAAAAAGCTAAATTAGCTTGTTAATTATCATTAAAATGTTTATATCTTGATATGTACTGTAATGAATTTGGAAACAAATTTCTTTGTCATATAAAGCAAGCAAGGTTTTCTTGATTTAAGCCTTAAATACTCAACAGCATTAATTATTGAATTATTCTGTATTTCAAATATATAATCATTAATATTGAAATATAAATGATATAAAAGTAACATAATTGCTAAATTATAAATCATTTATTTATTTAGACTTTACCAGTATAGTATTCACAATTTTTGTATTTTTAGTGGGGTTGTTATATTCATCTTTCTGCCAATATGGGACTATCATAGAGAGTGTCACGTGTCATATATCACAAGCAGCGGCTTATAAACTAAAATAAATTAAACTCACATTATTTAATGCATAATATGAATAGGGTACTGGAATAATCTTAGAGGGGCAACATAAAAAGCATCCATACCTTTTTAATACCTCTGTTACTTCTGTAATAAAGTTTTAAATGTGTGCTGGTTTCAAAAAAAAAGAAATTAACATTTGGTTTGAAATGATGTAAATTATATAATATTGCATTAGAATACGAGTTTTATTATTGAAATATTTTCTTCAGTTGGCACATTTGTTTATTAACATTGATTCATTGCATATTTACTAGGTGGAATTAAAATAAGTCATTTATGTTTTAAACTCATCTTAATGAAAGCAAAATTTCCCTTCTCTGTCGATAATGAAAAGTTGTCATGTATTAATATTTGTTTTCAGTATATATACATATATATGACATCACATGGGTTTTCGCACATTTATCTGATATTTTCCAGTTGTTATCAGGGGATAACTTTGGCTAAAGGGTTTTCTAACATATTTTATATAACAACAACAACTACAACAAAACATATATCCTATTGATTTTACCAGTAACAGATACTCAACATACATATTTCATTGACATACATGTAAACATAATAAAATGTATGGAAATGTAAATAGAAAATTAGGAAAAAAATTGCGGTAATATTGCTGTTATCACTCCTTTAGTGGTAAATGCATGTTGAACATCCAAATGCGAGAATATACATGCATTTTACTAAAAAAATGTTAGAATAGTTTTACTTCTTTAATAGACAAGAGTCTTGTGCAAGTCAAAAGATTCATTTTTATTATATATGAAAATGATAAATAATGTGTACAAAAGGCCATTAAACGAAGTTTAAATAAGAATGAAGCATAGCATTAAAAGTAGCATAGTAAAATGTTAGTTATTCTCTAAAGTAACTTTAACTTACGATAATTCTTGTTTGAAAAGTGCTAGGTTATCAAAGTATGCAAACTTGGTTGAATAATGTGGGGCGCTGGATATTCAAGAGAAATGATAAAAACCTACACGGTAGATTTCAATATAGATGATGGTTATGCGATTTTGTTCAACGCACAAGTACTCCGCTAACTTGGCAACATCCAAAAACATGCCGAGTAGCAAATTACTGACAATAATGCATGCCTGCATAATTTGGATAAATACTATCCAAAAGTCATAGACTTAGTCGTTAGAGAATTATTCAATAATTCATCTAAACTTGTCTTCTTATTTAAAAGCAAAATGTATTTTAATTTGTAACAAGCAATATTCATCTTAACTTGAATATATACCTTAAGTTATCTATGCATAATGCTATCTTCAACTATACTGCAAACAATTTAGTAATATATCCACACGAAAGATACATGAAAATTACCGAAAATGTAAACTGCAAAGTGTATGTATGTCGCCAAAGCACCAAGAAACTGTAACCCAGGGATAAATACAGGTCAAATTTTATCAATAATTTCAGTCGATGTTTAAATGTCTTCCTATTACATCATAAAATTTTTATTTTTATTGTTTGACATTAACAAAAAGAAATAATTAACAAAATAAAACAAAGATTTCATTATCGCTAAACAAAAGTCAACTTCGTTTAAGCTTGTCTTAAAATGGCATAAACAAAGCAAAATTAAAATTAAACTCGTACACAAGAACATGTGACCCACATACGTATAATTTAAATTTGGCCTTATGCAATGTAGAGAATTTAGAGAATTTAGAGAATTCTCTTTAAACGGGCATTTTAGTGCTTCTTAAGAACTACACAAATGATAAAACCGTAGACAAAGAGGCATGCATAGCGACTTACCATACTGGTGTATGCAGACTTTGGTTGCATTATTTTCTTTGCTTATTTTCTATTTCGTGTACAATGTATCCTTAATTTGTTCTCCCGTCTTATCACACAATTCAAAAAGCTTAATTTTAAACTGTCATAATTTTTATAAATTGCCTTTTGTTACTCATCTTTTCTGATGGGAAAATAGAACCTATGTGACCATTTTTTTGAGGTAACTTACTTTTAAATACTTGCCCCTCACGCCCTATTAGTAACTTTTGATCATTTTATCCAGGAAAGCAATTGAACTAACAAACAATTCAGCTAACTTTTGCTAAACTAATACACAAAGAGCCACCTAGGTCTTTCACGACCACTTAAACTTGAAAGAAGCCGCATGGCTTTTTCAGTTACATTATTATTATTATTTTTACAGTTATATTAGACAATGTTTGAGAACAACGCTTATAGTATAGATAGACATGATCATATAGACGGTGACTTGTTGGTAGGAAAATCAAAAGTGTAATTTATTATTCCTTAATTTATAAAGGTACATCTGTAAAGCGTTTTTTCTTGAATATTTAGGTTGAGTGCCTAATCCATATTGTTCCTTCTGTTTAATTCAAGGTTGAATTTTGATTAAAAAAAACTTGCCAGAAATATGTTTTGTATTAAAAATCTCTCAGCTAGCCTTTTTATGTAAAGACGTTATATCATTGTGTATATATGTAAAGTTGTGTGTTCCTTCACAGGTAATTGTAAAAAATCACTGAAGTACTTACAATTGTAAACTCTGACATTATTCAACCAACTGAACTAAAAATCTTGTCTTCATTGTTGAGTATCTACATTTCAGCAGGGTATATTTACAGATTTCCGGACTGGTATCATCATTTGTTGTATACTACACATATGTTTGTGAAACAAACTTAAGAATCATATTAAGACTTGTGCACAGACTATATATTTCACATGGTCACACAGGAACACAGACTGGTCTCCCTAATTCAACTTCTTAGAGGTAACCAGTCTACCGTCCATTGTTTTGCAAAATAAGTTATGTATATAAAACTTTACTGGAGAGTCATTCTCGACACAGTGATGATGTCCATTACTTTGTATCGTATTCCCATCACTACTGTTGGTTCAAATTCAGTCGGTGATTTTGAATGCTTGCATGAGGTCAAGGTAACTAGCAGATTTATTGATACCCTATATTTTTAAGTGCCTGCTTGTTGCACGAATGACAAGCTGTGGTTTCCCTCCATCAATAAATCTGGAAAGTTACCAATTGACTCTTTAATGTCAAAGTTGACAAATAAGTCAAGCCCCTTCAAATTTTATCACATCAATTGAAAAACTACACACCAAAACGCACACACACCATCAAAGACACTAACTAAAAAAGTATATTTCCAAGTTTAAAAAATGAAAATAATATTTATGATGATAATCGAATATACAATATTTGTATATTTAGGACAGACGGTGATAAAAGAAAACATTTCCAAAATGTGACGACTTGCTGCCTGAACTTCCTGCCAAGTATGTAACAATGTTACTACTTTTTAAGTTTTAAATAAGTCTTCTTATGACAAATGATATCTTTATTGGCGATGAGAGACAAACGACCAATAGACTCAATGTGAATGGATGAATTATAATAGAGAAAATTTCGATTGACTTGCCTTGCACAAGGACTGAGATAGCGTTCTCTAGATTACCTAAGACACCTGAATTACAAACTTTAAAAAAAAACTTGTCTAACCGATTTTATTTCAAGAACATGATTTCGTACTCACCCTGGCATTAGTGTTTGTGTTAAGGTAGGTTTGGAAGTAATCTTTTAGTGATTTTTGTGCTCTTGTTGCAAACTTTATATTTATATGTTTCATTACAGAACCAGCTGTAATGGTGATAGGTGAGACTCCACATAGAGAGGGAACTTTAATGATTGTACATGCTTTACAACAACCTAAACTTAACAAACAGGTATTTAGATTCGAGTTCACACTAAATGTTACACAAATCGACTTGGTGTGCACTAGATGTGCACTTCTATTGCACTTCAATGTGCATTTGATGTGCATTTCATAAGTGCACTATGAAGTGCATGAGACCAATTTTATTTATTTAAGCAGTTACCTTTTCTAAAAATATCAAGACTTTTGTATAGTGCAAATATTGACCTGTACAATGTTGGATATACGTAACTGTGTAATTATATTTAATGTTGTTCTTTGATTTTGTGATTTAAAAGTTTACGTATTAGAATAAATGTCGAAATAGATTTGGCGTCTGTAATTCATTACATTAAACAAATACATGTGCATGAAATATCATATATTGTACTGCACATTTAATAACATAAATTTTGTATATTCTTATTCCTTCTATAATTGTGTTCATGTGGTCATATTTTGCACGAAAACGTGTGCATTTAAAAGTTTATTTCTTATGTTATATTATAATTATTGTTTAGTAAAGAATAAAAGTATACATGAATCTATTGTTATTATTTCAGCTCAGTTACGTGTTCCTAGATATATTCATCACGGAATTGTTTCCAGAGTTAAAGCAGTGATCAATTTGAGTGAATACATGGAATCATCAGCAAGAAATTGTTATTTATAGAACAATAATGTTTTGCTTAACTGATATTTATATCGTTCTGTTCGTACTATAAATCAACATTTACTCTCGAAATATGACAATGGGAACTAACAATGAATCATGTACATATAATTTCCATTTGTCCGTTTTCCATTCTGACCTATAATACTGTTACTGTTTTGGTTTTAGAAACTGTCCATTGTTAGTTTGTTATTTCACTTATTTATTTAATAAAATGCAAATTTAATTCAGATACAAAGATATAGTATGTCCACGGTGCAGGCTGTCGTGGGTCTATAGTGGACACATAAGCATGCTTTCACCATTGAAATATCCATTCTTAAATCTTCCTAAACCTTAAATGATAAACATTTGCCTCCAGTATAGAGCCCGACCATCCTTCACATTCTTGAAGACTAACACGCTTCTATACTAATGACAGACTAACTTTTAATATTCACTTTGGTATCTCAAAATTGACAATGGACAGTTTTCAAAGTGGAATGTCAAACATTTAGCAGGTTAAAGGTGAGCTAGCCTCCAAGTCTGAGTGGTGACTGGCTACCTAACATCGATCCTCTATACTACTCATTGAGGGCAATTTCCTTGCTAAACAAGCTGGAATCAGTATTATATCAGAAGCTTATCACAATTTTGTTATAACTTGTATATTTCATGTCAAAAATGTAGTGTTGTCATTAATATGTAGTAAATATTTGTCCGTTTGGTAAATTATAGAACATCTTAAATGATTAACTCAGTTGTTTGAAGGAATGTGCAGGAATAAAAGGAGAGTTTAATAAATTATTAGCAGCTTAAATAATCTTGATGTCATAGAATGACTTTTTATTATACCCTCGCACAACGAAGTTGTAATGGGATATACTGGAATTAGTTTGTCCGTCCGTCCGTATATCCGGCCGTCCGAATCCTTTGACACAGTCTTCATATTTGATTTAGATTGGTCATGATAAGTAAATGACCCCATTGATTTCGCGGTCACCAGGTCAAAGTTCAAGGTCACAGGGGTCTTGAAAAAAAACTTGTCCGCCAAATTACTTAAGATTCCTTTGATCCACACTCTTCATATTTGGCATGGAGGTTGGACATGACAATAAAAATTACCCCTATTAATTTTGAGGTCACTGGGTCAGTGGTCAAGGTCACAGGGGCCTTGACTGAGAAAAGCTTGTTCACCGAATAGACTCCTTTGACCCATAGTCTTCTTATTTGGCATGGAGGTTAGTCATGATTAGTAGATTACTCCTTTTGATTTTGAGGTCACTGGGTCAAAGGTCAAGGTCCCGGGGACTTTGACTTCAAAAAGTTGGTCTGCCAAAAAACTTAAGAAACCTTTGACCCACAGTCTCATATTTTGCATGGAGGTTGATCATTGCGATTAGGTGACCCCAATTGATGTTGAGGTCACTGGGTCAAAGGTCAAGGTCACAGGGGTCTTGAATTAAAGCTTTTCCGCTCAATTGCTTAAGAATGCTTTGTTTAACAGTTTTCATGTTTTGGTATTTAGGTTGTTTCTGACAAGTAGATAGCCCCTTTTGATTTTTTGGTGACTGTGTCAAAGGTCAAGGTCACAGAGAATGTTGTCCTTGAGCTCTACATGGCCACTGTTGATTCTGATAAAGTGGAATGCGAGGGTATCACACCTTGACAGTGTCAGTTCTTGTTTTTACCTGATATATTTTGTTTTAACCATGTAAAAATACTAAGATGTAGTGATAATGACGTGCAATATATCTTTATATGCTTATTGTGATAAATTATGTATTGAATAGAAATATTGTAATTTGATTAACTTGAATTCCTATCTAAGACACACGAGAAAGATTACAGTAATTGATACATGGTATGTCACTGATCTGCTATTTATCGCGCTTAATCACAGTGGTTTTGAATACTAATATATTTTGACAAGGGCAAAACGTCGAAAGGTTGTAAAAGGCCATAGGTTTTGGTATAAGCGTAACGAATACATAAAAGTTAAAATGCTTTATCGCTGTTACAGATAGTTCAACCTTAAAGAAATATGTATCATATAATTTTCCTCTTTCATTAGAACTAATAACATTGTTCACTCTACAGATAAAATACTTTCAGTCTTTTGTTCCAGTATCACGTATTCATAAAGAATCCATTTTTAATGGTTTTACAAATAAAACAAACATTAAAAAAAAATTAATATTTTAAGTATATTTATAAAACAATGTAAATTGATGTTTTGTATTACGTTTAGTGTTCATTGTGTTATTTATGAAAGAAAACTCAAATTTTACAATAGAAAATTTATAAATAACATATCTAACAATTACAATCATGACAATATTTACATTAGAGACAGTTCATAGTTCAAATTTAAATAGGTATATACATACCAGTTTTGATAGAATGTCACTTCATAATATAACAAAATAGAAATCCGCAAAGTATTTCTATTTAAAATTGTCTACCTTATTTCAAGACGTTATCACTTTGATAGAATGAGAGTTTTCAGTTATTTAAACATGTCAAAGCTATCCCAGAACAGAGCAATATCAGTTTATAAAATAACTTTCATACAAATCAATCAGCGATACAAAATCAATCATCAGTCACTGATCATACAGAACCAGTTCATAGCAAAAGGACAAAAAACGAACACTATCCACAATGGATTTGGTCTTGCATTAAGAGTAATAACCGTCAACATTCTATATAGATTATCATTATTGTAATGTTTTCGACAGTAATTGAATAAGCAATATTATAAATCAATCAAAAGGTTGCTGGCGTGATGTATGGCAGGATATTACCGTCTTTGATCAATATAACCCTAATTTACCGCCCCATATTTGGTTATATTTACTCATCAGCTGGCATCTCGAGTCATATAGATCTCTATCTGGTTATTTTCTCCGATCCGTTAGCACCGCAAGTCATTTTCACCTCAATCTGGTTATATTCCTCCATCAATGAGATTCTCATACCATGTAGATCATATTCAGGTTATATTTTGCCGCCAGCTAGCACGTCCAGTCATATCAATCCCACTCAGTCTATATTCACCTGTATACTGCAAAATCATTATTTTTCGTGGGGGCACTTTTTTCGTGGATAGATCAATTTAAAAATTTAAGATCCAAAGAAATTTCATTTCGTCTGCTGTAAGATTTTTTACATTTTTTGCATCGCACTATTAATATCTTACCTTTTGGAAAAGAAATTTCTTGACCACGTAATTAGGTGATTTCACTTTCTGCTATAAAGTATAACCTCCTTGTCAACTAGAACTCCGGAGAGAAGTCGGCATATATGAATTCGTGCCACATTGTTTCTTTCTCTTTGTCTCAGAGAAAGCAAGTAACATTTTATTGCCTGTTTAGGTCTGTTTTCTTGTTCCATGCATTGCCCTAAAACATTGAGAGCTGTTTCTTTATGTCCAAGGGTTTTATCTGTTTTTATGATGTTTGCAAGTTTATTAATAGCTTTTAGTTGATCCTTATACATATGAAGATGCCTGTAGACTTTATATTGTAGGAAGTACAGGAAAGGAAGAGAATCAACAACAGCAAAGTCCATCCAAAGGTCTAAATATTTATCTCTATGTTTTATGTCGTCCTGTGTAGATCTAAACATTTCATATTGTAGTTCATGAGGAACACAGTTGATCTCTTTTTTTAAAAATCTGACACAAATTGCTGTAATATATTTGACGCAGTCCACATTTTGTTCATTAAATACCCTTTCTACTTTTACTGGCACTTTTGGTGTAGGCACTAGATACGGGCAGTTACAAAAATGGAAAACAGGAAAAGAGTAAAACTGCTCTTCAGTGTTCCTCAAAATTAGTTCAGTTTTCTCTATATCCCCAGAACTGTAGAATACTGAAGCCAATTTCAGTCTGCCAGATGAGACATCTGATTCAAAACCATTTAAAAGCCAAGCCAAGGCTTGAGGTGACACTTGATGTTTTAAACCTATACTTTCTGAGGCCAGGACAGATCCATATGTGGAACAGACAAAAGGTGCTAGGAACGTGAATGCAGCTTGTTCTAATTTATGATGATTATTATTGAAGCTCATTAGCCCTTCTACATTTTGCTTCATTATTCCAATATCTTCATTAGAGATTTTTTTTAAAAAAAAAGTATAGTTACCGCCACAACTGTTTGAGAATAGTATGTAATTGAAAGCGGAAACAATTTCACAAGTATTCAGTGAAGAGTAAAAATTGTATTGTCTTTCAGGTACTAATTTCAGTTTAACTTGAAGTCTGTGTCCAAGATTATCAATATTAATTTTAAGTAAACTATGTACATCATTCTGTATAAAATCATTTATATTGATTAAAAGTTGACGTTTTGTCTCAGCTGTTAATTGCCCTGCAATCAAATTGTTATCAGGTATAATGAAGTGTGACAGATTGTCGTTCTGTACACAACTGCTTAATTTCATCAAGCAGTCTTTTAAACATTCTAATAAATTGTTCTCTTTCCAAATGCTTGGCTCTTTTTGTTCTATACAATGAAGTAAAATTGTTTTACACATGAAGCTTGAAATGTTTATTTCCCCTTGAGGATTTAAAAGAGATTTAAGAATCATCTTCAGTAAAACATAGCACTTTATTTGTGTTATATCTAAATCAAACATTAGACATCTTTCTGCCAGGGATGTAGATATTCTCCACTCCAATTCAGGGTATTCACTGACCTTACTCCCAGTTGGAACAACACAACACACAGTACTGGCTGCATATCTTCTCATGTCTTGTGTTGGCCATTTTCCAATACTTTGTCTCTCTAACCATCCTGATTCTGCTGACTTTGGCCATGATTTACAGGGATACGCTAACACTCTGTCTGCATCATTGAATCCTTTCCTCCCCTGTGTAGCATATGATGGTCCATGTTGTGTAACTAGTATAGTATTATCTGCTTCATATAATTTGTTTTTATGCAATATTCTTCCTTTCCAATCGGATATATATCTTTTATCAGGAACAACAGTGGCAGGAAGAGGTCTATTATCTTGGAGAAGCTGAAGAAAACAATACCCAGGGGTAGTGTGCTCATCCTGTATCATGAAGAAGTTTATTTTGCCATGTTCCCACTCTGACCTGTTCTGTATTACATTGTAATAATTCATAAGACATAGCTTATCGAAGTCTGACTTTAGTCCATAAGTAGTTGTTCCCTCAATCTTACTCCCTAGATAATATGAAATAGTGTTATTTCCAAATGACTTCATTGTGATAGTATCCATATTCTCCATCAACTTGATAACTCTTCTTGTTCTCATCCTCATTCTGTCATTCACACCAATGTCTTCTAAAACCTCTGATAACATCAGTGATAGATGTTTCCTGCTATCAGGTGATTGAAGCATTCTGTAATGTAAGGAAATGAAAACTTGTATAAATAAGCAACACAGATTCTTTTGTTAAAGATTTTTACTTATTACTGTTTAGCTTACCAGAGCCGAAGGCTCAGAGTGAGCCATTAGTATTAAAGGGGGGTACTCCAGCGTCCGTTGTCCATCGTCATGCGTCAACAATCATCTTCTTTTCTGAAACCGCTGGACAGATTTACTTTAAATTTGGTCTGCAGCATCCTTGTGACAGTCACACCTAAATTTGCCCATATGATTTCAATTGGCCCCTTTTAGGGGTCAAGAGAGCTGAAATTAAAATACCTGTAGACATCTTCTTCTGCAGAACCAATTGGTGGATGATCATCAAATTTTGTCTGTAGCATTCTTAGGTAGTATATGTTTTTGCCCGAATGCTTGACATATTTTTTAATGAAAATAAATGGTATTACTGGATCAAAATGATCAATGACCTTTCTGACTTCTATCATTAAAATACCATTCATTATCCGCTATACACGTCATTTGTTATCGATTTACTGGCGAACATTACATTTAAAGTAATCACTGAAATTTATTTTTCTATATTTGTCCGATTATTTTATAATAATTATCTGCACACTATCGTTAAAATATTTTCGAAATTTCTCAGGGACACCTTACTACCCATAATATAGGCATTCACATACAAAAGTGCTGTCTGTTTCTTTTGACAATGTAAGAACACGAGGTGTAATTACAGCAATTAAACTAAAGTCCATAAAATCAAGATAATGTCTATCAGATTACGGGACAGACAAAGTGTTAGTTCACACATTATGGATATTTTAGGCAGCTACATTGTATAGATTTATCACATTGCTTTGGTACAAACAAAGCATGTTCACTAGATAATGTTATATATGAATACTTTAAAGACGGTATTGACGTACTCGTCAGCCCGTTAATTTTTTTACTCAGTTATATGTCAGATAAACATCGCTTTCCTTGATCATGGACAAAGGGTGTAATAATACCGCAATACAAAAAAGGCAGACCATAACGATACAAATAATTACAGAGGTATTACTTTAATGAGCCGTTTCGGCAAATTATTTACCGTAGTATTAAATGAAAAATTGAAAAATTGGGAAAACCAAAATTATGCTATATCTGATTTAAACATAATTTTATAGTACAGTTTATGCTATATTCATATTGAATGCTTAGATTGAAAAACAGATTAATTTGATTTATATAAAGATTTCAAAAATGTCTGGACAAAAAGTGATCCCTCAATAGCATTTATCACAACAAAATTACATGAAAATTGTAGACTCGGTTTGATTGAGTCCGTACATGAGGGATAACGATAAAAGTACAATATCCCTCACGCCCCCAGCACTGGCTTGAGTGGTATTCACTTTTCAACACTTAAAAGTGCTTGATTCAATGGCCCCGAAGGACTAGAAAAATATAACACGAAGTTAAACGTATGAATAATTTATCAATTTTTTTCATCTTTGATATTGGATTATTAGGAGGGAAATAATTTCTCCATTGTTCTTTCCTTTATTATGAGTGATGTTGAAATGTACTTATAGCAAGATCAAGCAGCTTGTATTTTTTTAGATAAAATTTCCATATATTTTTTATTATTTGCAGATGATGCTGTACGGTAATTTGTGATTTTGAAAATTACTGTACAAAATAAAAAATCAAAGTAGATTAAGAAAAAATACAAATAATATAGAAAATTAAAAAGTTTTAAATATCATGCAATTGTTAAATCGAGGCGGTTCATACATGAATGCAACAAAAATCTTTGACGGTAAAGGTATCCGGGAAATGAGCTCATTATTATCCATAAGAGAGCAATTAGAAGTACCTGTTAGACGTATTATTGTACTATTTGATTCATTTGTTGCCTCTATACTTCACTATTCATATGAAGTTTGGGAATTTCTTTAAACTGAAAAACTTGAAAAGGTTCATACAAAATTTCTAAAATGGATTTTAAATGTAAACATGTCCACATGTACGTTTGCTTTGTGTGGCGAATTTAAACGGTATCCTCTGTATACAATTAATTGTGAATGACGAGGAATCAATGTTTTCAAGTCAAGTTAGGTTATTGAATAAACATCTGTTTTGCTAAATTATTTATGTTACAACTTGTTAGACTATTTTTTGATTTGTAAAATATGCTAAGTAAAAGGAAGACGAAATAATATTGAGATAAAGACTGATTTTATTGACCTGTCAATTATGAATGCTTTAAAGCACTCATTTAAACATCGATCTCGTTTCGGTTTTGTCCGTGTGGTTTAAGAGAATTAAAAGGGAGTATATAACTTAATGTTTTGAAGCTCACACCAGCTTAATGTAACAAGTGATTGTCTGATGTGTGACAGGTCTGTGGTACGATCCCAACTGTTGCAATTGTTTTAGACCTACTTTTATTTGGTTTTGTAGTACAATTTAATGGAAATGACCGAGATCTTGCATAATTGTCAATACGGACATAAAGCCACTCAGAAAAACTGTTTTGTGTTGTGTTTTACGGCATTAAAATGACATTATACTGATTTTGATATTAATGAATATAAAATATTAATTCTTAGCCATATTATTTTGAAAAGTAAAGACTTACCATAATAAGCGAAAAACATATTAAAAACGAAGAACATAAAAAATCAATGCCCCAATAATGATGAAAATATAAATTTGGAAAAAATGGCATGCGTGGTTTCGATCTTACAACAAAAGGGAAATTATTAACCCGTAGTTTAACCTATTGCCTTATAACGCTCAGTTATAACAGCACATTGTCTTACAATCATATCAGTTAGGGATATTACACTTAAACACTATACTTTAACTTACATATTCATTTACTATAAATTTAATATTATGTGTAAAAAATATATTTCTCATGTATTACATGCCATTAAAATAATTAGGAAAACGTATTTCTATCTACCTGATTAGTTTGCTGGAAAGTTTGTTTTCACTTCCTCTGTTGGTTGTGAATGGAGATACAAACGAAATGACTCACTTCCTCTTCCTGTTATAATAAGGTTTGATTGAATTAATTCTTTTTACAGTATATTATAATAAGACTGAGTTACATATAGCTCTACATTTTAAAGTTGTCAAAAATTTATTAACATATTACGTAATCATATTCCCACCATGAAATGTAGAATGTACTTTACTGTAATCACTTTGTCATATCTGGAAAGTCAGTCGGTCAGACTATCTCCCCCGTGTCCGGTGTCTGTAATTCCAATTCTCTTAAAGCAGCACGTTTCCAGATTCATGCTCATTTTCATTAACATTTTGAAAGTGTATTTGAATGTGTAATATTGTGAAGTAACCAAAAGGAAGCAGTTTACACATAATCAATGGCACTTACAAACCACGTAAATTACCAAAATGTTGTCTAAATATGCATAAATAGCCTTTACTGCGTTAGTCATGCAGTAAAAATATAGTTGTAAATACTGAAAAATCAGTCATTAATCGCACATAATATGTAAAATATTACTTTACTCTAAAAAAATTTTACCTTTCCTTACATCTTAGTACATTTTCCTAAAGTTTAATTTTATTGAAATATATTGACTCATCTGGAGGCATGTAGCTTTAAAAATACAAGGACCTACATAAGACCCTTTGTCAAAAAAGATAGAGGAAGGAACTGTCACTTCTGTGACAACTCTAGTTCTATTTTCCTTAAAGGAATTTACGTGTAGTTTGAGATTTTTTAATTTACAGATATGATTATATAGTTAAGAATGTAGAATTCAGAATTAAAAAAAATATGCAGTATGTTATATATCCGATTTGCATGCACTTTGAACAGCTATTTGATCTTTATTTCATTTACGTGAATTTTGTAAAATTATAATGTCAGTACGCCATAAAACATGTTTCTACATACTTTAAATTTTTGTTTCAGTAACTGTAAATAAACATGATTTTAAATATATACTTTTCATAAATGTTAACGTAATTTTATGACCATTTTCTGTGCATGTAACTTCTTAAATAACCAGATCTTTGTTCCTTTTATATAGACGAACATTGAAAACTTTGTAATCATATTTTTATTTTTTATACAAAAATCTTTAAAATAAAACAGTTATACTATACCTCCTTTAATAATCAACGATAAAGGGTTAATTAAATTAGGTCTTTTAAAATAATGAAAGCTTTGTGTATGTCAATGTTACAAAATTGTTAAAAGAGTTTAATTATCAGTTGTAATAAATATGATATTTTTCGGTGTTTATATCTACAGTAACAGAACATTAAATTACGAAAATATTAGGAATATTACACTTAAACTTACATATTCATTTTACTCTAAATTTGAAATTATGTGTATAAATACATTTCTACCGACTTTTTAATTATATGTCATGAAATTAATCAAGAAAAAGTATTTTTATCTACCTGACTAGATTGACGGAAAGTTTGTTTTCTCTTCCACTTTTCGTTGTGAATGGAGATACAAATGGAAATGACTCACTTCCTCTTCCTGTTATAATAAAGAATAATTAAATTATTTCCCTTTACAGTAGCGGACAGCTATATATTACTATATTAGATAATATACTATTATACTTTAGATAATTTATATATGATTCAGACTCAAAGATGTTTAATACCCAGAGTAAGACATTAGTTCCGAACTATTTAAACATTAACTGCCCATTGTTGTATCTATAAGTCGTCATACTTTTGCACATATTCAGACAGACACAAAAAGTTCACTAAAAACAACCTTTGACAGGATATTTTATGAAATAAGTTACCTAATATTATGTCCTACGGAATCTAGTGATTTTAGCATGATATAACACTTAATTTGTTAATTTCAACAATTTAAGCCAATTCAAACAGTCAAGGTAAATATTGGAAATCGACTGTTATCGCAAAAACAGCTGCAATGCAGACATATTGTGGCCTGTATATGCATAATTATTAATTTGCTCCAGGCAATCGTGCTTTTGTAAACCCCAGTGTACCTTTTTTACCAAATATTTTAAAGTAACAATCCTTTTTAATTGCACCAAATCATAGAGTGAAGTCAATAGTGAGACACCAGTACTGGCTTCCCTTTCATAGACATAGATTCTTACATTTTATGATTAGACAATATTGAGGAAAAAAAAATTTGACATAGGTTTATAATATTTATATAAGATCATTATTAGTAAACCATTTATCGTACTCTGACATATGTGTTCATAATTTTGAAACTAACATTAACAGACAGTTTTCTAAATTGCTGTATGTGAGTCTCAAATTCAAAATGAAATGTTTCAGATATCATTTAATGACAACACTGCCATTATGAAAAACTATTTGAATTGCTTTTGTTTCTCAGCGTTTGCCTAGCCGCTGAGCGACTGACGATATCATCTTTATGTGCATCTGGTTTCGGTGTTTCGATAAGAAAAACAGCTAAAATTGCTCGACTTTCATATATAAGGTATGACATATAATAGCATTTGTTTGTTTTTGCGTTATTAAGCAAAATGCGATATTTTTCATCGTTTGATATAGAATGCCTTTGCGTAGCCATTTTTCATGTAGCTGCACCTTGTTGTCCAGGACAAAATTTAAATAAACTTTTCAAAACTGACTTTTCCCGGTGGGTCACATAGTTTATTTAGACAAACACATGTATATGGAAAAACACGTTCAAATCCTCTTGTGTCCATAATATTAGTTTATTTTACATGTAGTATTTCTTTGCAGACCTACAGATATTTTATAAATTATTAAGGGGGGGATCTCAGATGACGGTTCTCAGGACATCATGGCCCTCTTGTTTTGTCATTTTTGAGCTTTACTCAACATAAAACTCATTGAAGTGTACTGAAAGATGTTGGACGTCGCAACAGATCTTTATAACGTTTGTTGTCAAATTTTGAAGTAATTGTAGTTGTTTTTTTATCGTAAAAGTATTATACTTCTTTAAATTCACAGTAAAGATATGGCCATTCAATCCTTTGTTAAAGGATGGGTGTACACCAATACAATGATTTAAGAAAGAACGCTATATTTTGCGAACATTTGAGTAGCGTCTTGTAAATTTACACGTGAAAAGAAACAAATAAAAGAATTGTATAAAGTGTGGTAAGAACAAACGAAAGGACAGACTGGCCTCCGTAGATATGTCTTAACTGCCGCTAGCACTATTTGAAAAACATCTTCATGTTAAAATTCATATTACTTAAAACTAACGGTGCATAACATGCACTCGAAGGCAGTAGTTTAACGGCAACACATATTAAAGAGACTATAAATCACCCATCTTTACACTATCTTTAACCGTTTCTTCATTTAGTTGATTGATAACTTATAAATAACTCTCAATAAATCATCTTGTAAATTCTTAAATATTGATTGAAATTAAAATTTATTACTAATAAATCACCTATTGAAGTCGAAAACAAGTATCATTTTCCCCTTTTAGACATTAGATTGGATTTTACTTTATAAATATAGAAAAACGATAAATTTTTCTTTAAAAAACATTAAAAGTGGATTTTTATTACCTTTCTTTGTTGCTATCCCAAATAAATATCGTACTTTATTTGGAAGTCTCTATTCACATGTATTACATTTTCACTTTGTTAAGAGTATTGAAATTCGAAATGCTAGCGTGTCATGTTACATGTTAGCGTCAGTGTGTAATCAAGTGGATCATTTAAGTCCCCCAGTGTGTGCGTTTTGATAGCTTAATTGCTTGGCAACCTGTTATTATTCTAAAGAAAAAGTGATCCCTTTTCTACAGAAGACTGACTTCTATGAAATAGTTTATCCCATTTTGAAATTTGTAGAATATTGTGTCCCAACTTATTGATCTAAAACGAAATATATAAGATTCTAATCTATTGTTGTAGTTGCAACACAATAAATACATTAGCCTTGGGTTTTTCGTCATTTTTACTTTTCCTTTGTTACAGTATACATTTAATGTTGGAAGTCATACTAATAGCTTTTAAACATTGATATGAAATTTTATAAAAATGGATATCTATAAGCTTTTTGTAACAAAATGACATCCAATTTCAAAATATCCGGTCTTAAATTTAAAAAAAAATCAGTTTTGTAGTGGCAGTCTGCACTTCAACAATATGATTTTATGTATTTTGATATTTATAGTGTACCCTAAATGTTATTGGATATTATTCTGTCATTGAATAGCTACAAATTGTTAAACGAAAATGAAGTCAAGCAAGCATCGTTTTCAGCATAATAAAATCTTTATAAAGTATGTCAAATTTATTTTTAATAATCAATTATAAGACAATATTCAGTACCCATTCTATCTACTATCAATAAATTTCAATCATGACATACTTTCATTTGGGGTGTGATATTTGGAGACTTTGAATAGTTATGTAACAATATAATTTGTAATTTTATAATGGCCAGGCTTCTTTTTTGGATTAATTATTTGGCAAAATTGCAAAAATAATTGAAAATTTGGTGATTTAAACCTTTACTTGCTGAGGCAAGAGCAGATCCATTTGTAGTACAGAGAAAAGGTGCTAGAAAGTGAATGCAGCATGTTCTAATTCATGTTATTGTGATGTTTTAAATGCTTCCGATGGATCATATTTTTAGAGATTTTTATTATCATTGTATGTCATTAGCCCTTTTACAGTTTGCTTTATTATTCCAATATCTTTATTATATAGTAGATATAAATAAATACGATTGTTTGCACTTCTACACCTTGAAATTGTAGTGTAATTGGAAGCAGAAATACTTTCACAAATTTCCATTGAAGAGTATAAATTGTATTGTCTATCTGGTACTAAGTTCAACTATAACTTGAAGTATTTGTCCAAGATCATCAATATTGATTCTAAGTATACTTTGTACATCATTCTGTATAAAATCACTTATATTCTTTAAAAGTTGATGTTTTGTCTCAGCTGTAAATTGTTCTGCCATCAAATTGTTTTCAGGTATAATGAAATGTGACAGATGGTCATTCTGTACACATCTGTAAAATTTCATCAAGCATTCTTTTAACATTCTAATAAGTTCTCTTTCCATATACTTGGCTCTTTGGGGTCTTTACAAAGAAATAGTATAACTTGATATTCTCATTTCCCCTTGAGGATTTAAAAAAGATTTAAGAACCACCTTAAGCATACATGTTAGCAAATCAGTGTCTGAGCATAGTCCTGAAGAAGTTTTTCCTTCACTCCGACTGTCTAGATAATATGAACTTGTAAGTGTACCCTTTGTCTTCGCTTCCATAGTCTCTATCAGCATGTTAACTTGTCTTCCTCTCATTACCATTAGTGTATTGAAATCAAAACCTCTGATAGCATACGTGATATATGTTTTCTGTCTCAAGTGATTCCCAGCCATGCAATTTTTTTTCATGTATCAGTCGATTGAAACAAGTTTGTAAAATCGATCGATTAAAGACATAATAGTATTTTGATCAGTTTGTTTATTTGCAATCAGCAATAAGTTTTCTTTTAACCATTTACAATACTTTCAACTTATGACAAAAAAACTTAAATACAATGTAAACATATATTCAAAACATAATTGGCGCAAAGAAGACCATAACACAGATAAACGCAAATAATATATAAAGCAATACAAAAGAAATTCTAAATGGAACATTGAACACTTTAACTAATAAATATTAAGTTACACAGATCCAGTATATGCCATTGTTAATTTTATCGACTGTATTGAGATATTTGTTCTATATTTTGTTGATTTGAATTGATTATAAATTATGATGCCAGAGTGTACGTAATAATAAACTATATTTTGACATACTTTTTGTTTTAGTAACTTTAAAAAACATGCTTTGTAAATATCTGCTTTCCATTAATGATGATATAATTTATGACCATTTTCAAATGCATGTAAACTCTTTGAAAATTTTGTTATTCTATTTTCAATTATGTTTTAAAATCTTTTACATGAAATTCTTTGTTATTAAGCGAAAACTAAATCATGTCCTTTGAAATATTGAAAGCTTTTTGCTTTCCAAAGTAAGGTTTTGATTTATCAGTTGTAATGAATTTGATAAATTTGTCAGTGTTTTTTATCTTCAGTAACAGCACATTGAATTTCGATATAATAATTTACAGAGAAATAACACTAAAACACTATACTTAAACCACAAATTCAAAATTATGTGTATAGAATTAAAATTAACTCCTACTATCTCTTCAATTATATTTCATGACAATAATCAGGAAAAAATATTTGTATCTAACTGACAAGATGGATATTGTTCAATCTATTTTCACTTCCTCTTTTGGTTGTGAATGGAGATACAAGGGGAAATGACTCACTTCCTCTTGTTATATTAAACGTAAATTGAATTATGTCCCTTTACAATAGTGTACAGCTTTTAAAATTCTAAAAAATACATATATCAACAAACTTAATTACATATAGTTTTATTCATTTAACTGGTCAAAAAAATTAAGACATTATATAATTATATCCTAACCACATAATGTAGATGGGGCTATACTGTAATCACTTTATCACGTTGGTAAGTCAGGCGGTTTATTCCTCTGTATCCCCCGTGTCCGCTTTATAATTCCTTGACCCCTTGAGAGATGTTATTCAAATTTGACTCAAATATTCATCTCAACAAAGCGATTTGCAGACCTTATTCCACATATTTGCTGGCTTAAGGTAAAGGTCATGTTTTAAGGTCAAGTGACAGACATTTTCATGTCTGCTTTACAGTATATATATCGTTATACCAATATTCTTCAAATTTGGCTCAGATGGAAACATTAACCGTATGGTGATAATAGAAGACATTATATTTGTATATTTAGGACAGACGATGGAAAAAGAAAACGTTTCCAAAAAATGATGACTGACTGCCTGGATTTCCTGCTAAGTATTTAATATGTTCAGTACTTTTAAAGTAAGTCTTGTAATTCTAAATAATTTCTGAATCGGAAGTAAGGACAAATGACCATTAGCCTCAATGCCCAAGATCAATAATATCAGAGATATGTTCTCCTTGCCACACCTTGCCAGGTGATCGAACAAGCGACCCTTTGATTACAAATTAAAAAATAACAACGTAACACTACTTATTAAAAGTGATGAAACAATTTATTCTATAATGGATAAGACAGACTTTCAATATGTATGTAACATGATGAACATGTCATGATTATGTAACCATTATATTTGTTACCTGACCATTTTAAGTTTTTCAGCTTGATTATTTCGATAGATTCGGTAAACTGCTACTTGCTGTCATCTGTAATATTCATATTTTTTATTTCAGAACCAGCGGTATGGGTGATAGGGGAGACTCCACATAGAGAGGGAACTTTAATGATTCTACATGCTTTACAACAACCTAAACTTAACAAACAGGTATATACAGGACAATAAGTTACAACTGGGCAATGTTTGATGTTCTAAATCGTGTAATTATATTGAACATATTGTTGAATGAGTTATTGTCTACATTTGTACTTTAGAATGTGTATAAATTTAAATAAATTCAAATGAGGAGATAAAGCGTTGTTTATTTAGTGTTATGCAGTACATGTCATTAATAAATATACATGTGCATAAACTATTGTACATTAGATTGGGCATTTAAAAACATTTTTTGTTTATTCTGAAACGACATGTAGCGCAATGGAAGGGGGATTATTCAAACTTTTATCTAATTCTTGTTTAGAATTAACATTAGATTTTAAATGTATATGTTATTATTGTAAACCTGTATGGAGTCAATTGTTTATTTTTTTATAATTTCAGGTCAATATAATTTTCCACGGTTGAGCTAAAGTGAATTAGAGGAAAATTATTTTCCATTTGTCGAATATAGTATCCTATTACATAGTTTTGTGCACGAAGTTTTCATGTAATGTGTAGTATTGGTCATTCAGCTTTGGACGATCGACTAAGCAATATCAGCTTAAAAAATAAAAATTGGCAAGAATTGTGTTTTTCAACCATCTAGATGTGCTATATTTTGTAAGATGATTTTATTATCTGAATTAAAGATTATTGTCTATGAATGTGCTAAAATGAATATGTATGTTTTGATGCATTTATTATAGTAACTATGTATTGTTACATGTAATGATTGAAATGTGAATGTATTACACACTACACACTGATCGTCCAAGTGTTCCATACATATAATACTTTTTTTAAATACTTTTATATTGTTTGTTGTTTAAGGATATAGCATGAGTTTCGAGGAAGTTATTTGTTCCTAGATATTTTTTATGACAGAATTGCTTCAAGAGTTAAAGCAATGACCAAATAGAATCTTAACTGAATACTTGAAATTATTATTTGTTTTAAAGGACAATACCATTTTGTACGGTTGAATATCGGTTTTCATATTGTTCAAATATATTTATGATAAATATCTATTTTGAAAGTTATTTTCAAAATTTGTAAATGGTAACATTGCAGCCTCCAAGTCTGTGTTTGTGAATTGCTACCTAACATCAGTCCTCTACTCAATTGGAGGAATTTTCTTGCTAAACCAGTTGGATCAAGTGTCATTTTAGAAGATCAAAATAATTTTATTATAACAATTGTTCTGTAATCAAATTACTATTTAGATGATATTTGTACGAAAGACCGGTGGTGATATTTAAATCTCATGAATTCCTGATTTCAGCTGCACGAATTTACGATTACTAATTCATGAATGCAATTTCACGATTTCAACCGATATATGTTGTTTCATTCATGCAATATATTTTTATATGCTTATTAACTGTGATTAATTATGTAAAGAAATGAAATATTGATTGACTCGAATTCCTATCATAGACACAAAATGAGAAAAAAACTTAAAGTAGTTTAGAAATGGAAATGTCACTGATCCGCTGTTTATCGCGCTGAAACACAGTAGCTTTGAATGCTAATTGATTTTAATATTGAAATACCGTGGGAAGGCTGTATAAGATTTTAATTTATGTTTTGTATTTGCGTAGCTAAAACCCTGAAAGTTGAAATGAATTATTGATTTTAATTCCTATGACAGACACAAATAATGAAACATTAAAGAAGTTGATAAATTTTAAGGTCACCAACCTGTTCTCATTCGCACTGGACCTTTGTTATCAGTTTTTATTCTTAGGAGGAATTATTGTATGAACGTTTTAGAAGGTCACACTGGAAAAGTAGAAGTTTGATGCTGCAATCGACTTGTATCTTAACGAAATATATATTTCACTTAAAATGTTTTTATTCTTTATGGTGTTTTGTAGTTTTCTTCTCACATAAGGATTAATTCAATTAACACTCTATAGAAACAAATACTTTCTATTTTATATTCCAGTACAATATTTTCATTAAGTTTCAACTTTCATGGTTACACATAGAGCAAACATTAAAATTTGATATTGATGGTTTTAAACCAGAAATTGTTTTTTGTCTAACTTTTACAATCTCGTACTAAATATAACCTTAGTATTTCTGCTTGCCCTTGTAGCACTTGGTTGTTGCTGACTAAACATCATTCTAAAAACTTGAAACATTTCTGTACACAAACGATAAATTTTTACAATTCTAAAAAAAGTATTTTTTTTCTTTGTTTTTCATTGATGCATTACTTAACATTGTTTGAAATATGTCTAAAAATCTGCGTTTATTATAAATTGAGATTTAAAAAAGAATGTGAATGGATATATTTAACTCAAAGTAGTGTTCAGTGTAACATTTATCAATGATAACTCAAATGAATGATAATCTAAATAAATGTGCAATATTCATGCTTTATTTCTTTTCAAAGGAGCCCTAAATTAGTGTTGCCGAGGTGTATTCACTTTTAATCAACATGTATCCTGCTTCGAATTTCACTAATTTTCCCTGAACAAAGATCACAACAGTGTAGCCTCTCACTTTTGTTTCTACTTTTGGGAAAATGTTTTTCCTTCGTAATGACTTTTTAATAAAACATTAAACGTTGTTTTCAAATAAAATTGTTGTCATTCCTTTAAATACATTTTTTAACTTTGTTAGAGATGTCATGATTATGTACAGTTTCGTATATAATAATCATACTAACAATTGGTGTAATTCAGAGGTCATTTTCCTTCAACTGGACCCTGCTTTGCGGCATTTGTCTTTTTCCAACGCCAAGACTATTTTATATTTACAAATTAAAAAAGGAGCACAACAACACTTTATCAACGATGGATATTACACGATATATTGTCTGTGTATTACACCAGCAGAGCTGCATCAGTACTAAGGGTGTAGTACTTAAGTACCGGTACCAGTACTTGGCAAATTATGCAGTACCATTACCAGTACCAGTACTAGATTTTAGCTCGGTACTGCAGTACAAGTACTTTTTTGGTGAAGTAATTAAGTATCAGTACCATAACTTTTATATATTCATCAAAGTTTGAATAAATACAGTGGCAAACAAATAATTGCAAATATTATTCAGAAAAGAAATAAAATCATAATTTACTTTAAAGTTAACATAACATGTTTACAACTTTATAGTTTAAACATACTTTTTACAAACAATATTTACAACATATATTCATGTCATAATCTAATTGTTTAGTAACCAGTCAACTGTTTAAATACAATGCAAACATCTTTCATTTAAAACACAACAGTCTTTTGTTGCCTTTCACACCATCACACCTCTGTTCAATTTATACCAAAGTAAATAACAACTTTTTATGGTGCTAACAATATCACTTTTTTCACTTGAAATGGGTTTATTTAGAATAGAGGAAATTAATTAGTGTTGATTTTGCTCTTTTACTAGTAAAGTAATAAAAGATTTTAATAAGGATATTTTAGAGCAAATAGTTATTGAGTCTGTTTATCTTTATTTAATTTTTACTTAAAGTCTTTGGTGTTTTTTATGATGAATACTATGTTAACATTTGAAAGAATATTGCAGCAAATTATCACTTACTTTTCACAAAAATAAAATATAGTTCATGTAATTTACAGCTTTTTTTTTATAAGAAAAAATGATGCTTTTTTAAAATTTTTATCAAAACCAAAAGTACTGGGTAATGCAGTAGCAGTACCACTTTTTAAGACAGTTATGCAGTACCAGTACCAGTAGTAGCAAAATTGTGTAAGAGTAATTCAGTATCAGTACCAGTGCTTGCAAAATCGCTGCAGTACGGACTGCAGTACCAGTACCAGTAATGCAGCTATGTACACCAGCAGACGATGTTCCAACCTGAACTTAATGTCTGTAATAGATATAAATCATTTCGGTATAAATATGCCACTGAAATAGCTTTGCCTTAAACAAAAATGAAATTGCATCTCAAATAAACATGCTCTCAACATTCGTGATTCGAATTTGGGAGTGTCTCTGGATTTGTTCTTATCAAGACTCTTCACACATGTTTTAGATATTTACTTATATAGTTGACAGTGGTTAAAGGTACTAAAACTTGGATCAAATTGCATTTATTTATAATGTAAAGGTATGTCCATTTCCTTCTCAGTAGATAGTCAAAAGTTTCATTCTTTTAATGAATTTATTGTCTCAATTGAAGAGTACGGTGTTATATATATGAATACCAGAATCAAGAGTTCAGAATGAAAAGTAGCATGATGATTTTTTTAACGAGACTTTTACAGTCATGTCTAAGAAAAATGAATCAACTAGCTACATGTAAGTGACGCATTAATAAGTCCATGTATTTATTGTTAAAACTTAATGGTTTGCACATTATTCACAGTATTCGTCAATCTCTTCCATATCACCTAAAGTTTAATCATAGTCTTCACTTTGTTACTTGTTTTGATGAAATCAATAAAACTTTAAAATGAATTTGACAATTTTTGACAATTTCAATGTAAAAATTCAGTTTTTGAAGTACAATACCAGTATCTGGCTCTACTTCTTACTATCTGTATATAACAGGTAGTGTTTATTGCTACCTGAACAAGATGATACTTGATACTACATGTATGTCTCCCTGTTTACAACATCACTAAGAATGATAATATGGACAACTATATGTGTGCATCATACAGATGCATTGTTGACTTCTACTTGTATTATAGAATAATACTTAAGTATAGCATGCAGTGGTCATAGCTTCTTGCACAAAATTTAACCATTAACTACGTATTGCTGCTTTTTCGGAATAGTACGACTATTACATGTTCAATCATTGTATTCAAACTATTTTTTAAAAATGTGAATAAAGATCATCAAGGCAAGGCGAAGTTCCTTCTTACACAGAACTATACCATAGATTATAACTGTTAAACATCCAGTGTTTATTCCTTTTTCAAAGGAATGATACCATCACCTGGCACCTGTACATAACATGCAGAAATGTGATGCATTTTGCAAAGAGTGATTCCACAGACCTCAACTCTTACATCATGTAGTGGTTATTGCTTCTTGAATAATGGGAAGAAACTGAAAATCCGTTTCATACCGACAATTAGTACATAATGTTTTTTAAACTTAAGCCACCACGCTATCCAAGGGTTTTGTTTATTTTACTTGCCAACCAGCATTCCAGAGAGAAGACGACATATATGGTCGTTTGCCACATTGTTTCTTGGCCTTTGTCGGAGAGAAAGCAGGTAACATTTTAATGCCAGTTTTGGTCTGTGTTCTTGTTCCAGGCATTGTCCTAAAATATTTAGAGCTGTTTCTTTATGTGCAATATCTTTATCTTCTTCTATGGTTCTTATAAGTTTACATAGTGCATGTTGTGTGTCTTGATATCTTTGAAGACGCCTGTAGATCTTATATTGTAGGAAGTAGATGAATGGTAGAGAATCAACTACAACCCAGTCCATCCAATAATCCTCTTTTTCTTCTCTGTGTAACAACATGTCATCTTGTGTAGATCTGAACAATTCATATTGTAGCTCTTGAGGAATACATTTGACCTCCTGCTGTGTGAATATGACACAATCTGCTGTCATTTGTTTTACACAGTCCAAACTTTGCTCATTGCATACTTTTTTAAACTCCACTGTTGGTCGTTCTGGACACTTACAACAGCACCTACAGATATGAAAAAGAGGACAAGAGTTGTATTGTCTTTCAGTTTGTCTCAGGATTAGCTCAGTTCTTTTCATATCTCCTTCACTGTAGAACGCTGAAGCCAATTTCAGTCTACCAGATGAGACATCTGAATCCAAACCACTGGAAAGCCATACAAATGCTTGAGGTGATATTTGATTATTCAAACATATATCTGCTGAGGCCAGAGCAGATCCATATGTGCTAAAAAGAAAAGGTGCGAGAAACTTGTATGCATTCTTTTCTAATTTATTGCCACTTTCTCGGTAGGTCAAAAGTGTTTCTACAGATTGCTTCAATGTTCTGGTGTCTTTATCATGTAAGTCTTTTAACAGTACTCTATGATTTGAACTTACTTGACGTGCAAAGTTGACGTAAAGTTCAGCAGACAGATGCTCACTCATTTCAAGAGAAGAATCAAAACTGTACTCTCCTTGTCGTACTAAGTTCAGTTTAACTTGAAGTCTTTGTCCAAGATTATCTCTATTGATTGTAAGTAAACATTGTACATCATTCTGTATAAAATCACTTATATTTTCCAGAAGTTGATGTTTTGTCTCATCGGTAAATTGTCCTGCCATCAAATTGTTTTCTCGGATAATGAAATGTGACAAATATTCCTTTTGTACACAACTGTGCAATTCCATGAAACAGCGTCTTAAACATTCTGTTAAATTGCTCTCTTTCCAAAAACTTGGCTCTGTGCTTTCTATAGTGTGTAATAGAACTGTTTTGCACATGAAACTTGAAATGTTTATTTCCCCTCGAGGATTTAGACAGGATTTAAGAACCATCTTCATCAAGAAGTAGCACCTTAACTGTGTTATATTTGAATCAAACATAAGACATCTTTCTGTCAGGGATGTAGATATCCTCCATTCCAGTTCAGGATTTACACTGACCTTACTTCCAGTTGGAACAACAAAACACCCGCCACTGGCTGTTCCCATCCTTTGTGTTGGCCATCTGCATTTATCTTGTCTCTCTAACCAACATGATGCTAATTTAGGCCACGATTTACAGGGATATGCTATCACTCTGTCTGTGTCACTGAATCCTTGTTGCCCTTCCATTGCAAGTGATGGTCCATGTTGCGTGATATTTTGGAAGTTTTCGGTTTCTAGTGTGTTCTTACGCAGTATTCTTCCTCTCCTATCAACTATATGATTTGCATCAGGATTAACTGTAATAGGAAGAGGTGTATTAACATCAAACAGTTGTAGGAAACAATATCCAGGGGAAGTGTTAACATCCTGTATCATGAGATAGTTTACCTTGCCACGCTCCCATTCTGACATGTCTTGTATTATATTATACTCATTATTACAATACACCATGTCAGTGTCTGACTGTAGTCCCGGAGTTGTTGTTCCTTCACTCTGGCTTCCTAGACAATATAAAGAAAAATTGTCACCCTTTGACTTCCATGCCATATTACTCATGGTTTCTATCAACATGACTACTTTTCTCCTTTTCTTCACCATTCTTTCATTGATACAAATGTCATCTAAAACCTCTGATAACATCAGTGATAAATGTTCCCTCTCCTCGGGTTTTTGAAACATTCTGTAATGTATGTAAAGAGAAAAATGTGTTGAATCATTGATATCATTCAAGAGATTGCCTATCATAATGGTGACTGACCAAAAATAGAAAACGTAAAATGTTAAGGATAAAATATAAAAACTACCAAAATATTAATAAGACTGTCCCGCTCTTTCATAACTTGAACGTTACCGATAAATTCTTAATAATATCTATAGAAATATCCTTGGATTATTGATAACATATTATACATTGGGTAATATGAAATTGAATACAATTATGATAAAATGTCACTTTGACTTTTACCCGAGTACTTAACCTTTTAAGATGGGCAGAGTGTCACTTTAAATACTTTTACTTATCATTTTTGTCCACTATTTTCTAGGAAAGGGATCTGGTCATGATATTATGATAATTTAGTTGCATAATTAAGTTTGGGAAGTGTATTAATAAAAGATACAAATAAATGTATGTAAATGTAAATATATCATTGATGACTTTATTTTATCTATTTGTATCGATATTGTCCATCTTATTTCTTTGATTTTGGATTATGTATGAATTATGACAAAAGTGTTTTACAACAATCAGTTTAGTGATGTTTCATTGAGTGACAAAATAACTTTACATCTTGTCATTTTTTTCAATTTAGAAATTCACGTAAGTAATCAATAGCCCCCGGTAACCCACATAACTATCTATAAATATTCCAGGGAAAATAGAGGTTATGTTCAATTTCACATAAGAGTGGCCATGATTTGTCAGTCTCTTTACACATTAGGTAGCTTTTTTTATATTTTATCCTTAACATTTTGGTATTATTAATTATTGATCAAACACCATTAAAATAGTCAACCTTTTTAAATATGCCACTATAATTATATGATATAACTAGTGTTGTACAGAAAAAGATAACAAAATTCCTTATATTCCTTATATATGTATGATGAATTTATCACGTGATTTCCAGTAATTCGTATAGATTTTCTTTTAATGCATGTAAACTCTCGCATAACCTGTTGTATTCCCATGATAAACATATTTGTTATTTATACTTCCTGTTTGGTTTAAACAAAATAGTTTTGTTTAAAAAACTCATTTTGATGTTTTAATCAAGAATTGATTGAATTATGTCCAATGAAATATTGAAATCTATAGTTACGGAATAGTTTAAAGATTTTATTTATCAGTTTAAATGATTTGATTAATTTACAATGATTAATAATATACTGCATGAAGCAGCAAATTTATATGTAACTTTTTATGAGAACATCAATATAGTAGACACATTAACTAAACACTAAGCTAACATTCAATTTGAAAAAAAGTGTGAAAAATAAAATATTAACTTACTTTCAATGTTGGATTCATAAAAAAACAAGAACATGTACTTTTATCTATCTAGCTAGATGGTAGTCTGGTTCCCGGTCGTACTTTGCTAGGTAAAAGTACCGATAACGATAGTGGTAAGGGGCAGGTAATCCAGACTAGCTATAGATGGTATGTTTATGTCCTATGTAACTACAAATGGGAATAACTCTCTTCCTCTTCCTGTTATTCTAAAAGATTATTATTTCCCTTTACAAATCAGTAAATGATATACAGTTCTATCGATTTTTACAGGCACGGATTCACCGAATGGGTAAAGGCTTAAATGGCTAAAGCTCAAGCCCAAAGACGCTCTGGTCTGTTGATTTTTGCTTATGATGCGAAACTCGTACAAAACTGATTTAATTGGCTTAATTTTAGGCCAGTTGTGTATTTAAGGGGGAGGTAATACTTATATAAACTATTACACAAAATCGTATTCATTGTCTCGCTTTTTCTCTGTATTGTTAAAAAGACATTTCCAAAATTGATAGTCTGCATGAAAAAGACCCTTCTGCAAGTTTCTCTTCTTAGAGTCTCTGAAAGCATTTAATTGCAATTAGTTGATAATGCTTGAAAATGTTTACTTGAAAATTGTAAATATGAAGCTATTATGTACAAATAGAGCTAGGTTTAGAAATTCTTCTAGTCATATACGAGTAGTAGACAAGTTGCTATGCTTTATCAATTCGTGGTTTTTAAACAAATTTAACTGATGATACTCGTACATTACTGAATTTAACTTCTGATATTCTACATTAGTGATATAAATGGTCTAATTTTAGGTCAAAATGTCAAATGGATGTCAAATGAACTGATGAAAGAGTTCAATCGAGCGCTTTTTTGTTTTTCTTTGTTGATCTGAGTTTTAAGAGGGAGGTAATACTTATATAACATTCATTATCTCCCTTTGATGTTTTTCTAAAGGCATTTACAAAAGATCCCCTCTATTTATTTACACTCAATAGACCCTTCTGTAAGTTTGGACATTGTTCCCTGAAAAAAAATGATTGTATTTAGTTTGAAAATGTATGAAATTGTTAACTGATATTTTCTACAGAAAGGACAGAACCTTGAGATATTCTAGGCTTTGAGAGGAGTACTATTAACGCTTCAAAACCTCGACCTGGATAATAACTTACACCATTCCATTTACCCTTTGTACAATTTTCAATTCAAATAAGCTTTAAATCCTTTATATATTCTTTATACAGTTTTTCAATTCATATTTGCTTTTCCTTCATACAGTTTTAAATTCATATATGTATTTATTCTAAAAGGCACATTATATCTCAGAACCCAATTTTTTGGGCTTCTCCAGAAAGAGCAAACATTGTTTTATGGCGTTTAAATAATGTTCAAGAGCATGTTATATGTTAATCAACAGAAGAAAATAGTGCTGAATGTGGAATTATGAAAGTATCAAAATGTCAAGAAAGTCGTATTTTCACATCCATTAAAATACTAAATAACTGCAACAGTTACTGTACTAAACGTCAAAAGGCAACAGAAGAAAAAGATTGTTCAGGTAAATAGCCCATGAGTTACTTTATGAAAACAATAATTGGACATAAAAAAATAAAATATAGTTTTCAAATCAAATAATTATAATTAATCATTGAGAAATATGCCTAGTCTGGCCGGTATATATGATGATGGTGACTGAGGTTAAGGGTATATATTTTTAGCTTATCTGTTTCGGAGAAAAATCTGGCCATTATGATATCGTGTCGTCGTAGACAATAACTTTAACGCTGTCACTTCCTCAAATTATTTTAAGGCACGAAACGCGCTTATTATGACAAGGCGCGGATTGGAAACGGAAAACTTTACTTTTGGAGTTATGTCCCTTTTTCAATTAGAATATTCATTCGTAGGAACTATAAAGATCAGCATGAAACAGGAATACTTGCTTATCATGACATTGAACAGTTGTAAGATAAGGGGCATAATTCTAAAAGCTGTAGTAACAAAGTTATACCGCTTTTTTAAAATCCTGACTTACTTGATTATTAAATGAAATAATTTGAAAACTATCGAAGGTATCAACAAGAAAATTTGAATACTTGGTTTTTATGACATGGCGCATAAGTAACCTGGAAGCAACATTTTTAGGAATTATGTCCCTTTTTCAACTATTTCTAAAAACTGTTTGTCGGTATATTAAAGTGTAAACGTTACACTTAAACTGTACAATTTACACGTTTACACGTCAAAATCTAAATTTTACAGATTGAAGTGTAAATTTTACAGATTAAAGTATATTATTTACAGACTAAAGTATCAGAACAACACATTTTTATAGCTTAAAGTGTACAATTTTACAAAGAAATAGTGTCAATGTAGCACTAAATTGCTTTTGTCAAATAGAAATATGATTATGTTATGCCAAATAAAAATAAAGTACAACTCACATTTATCCTTAACCTCGATAAAATAGGATTGTGTGTGAGTGCGGTCCACATGACGTTGATGTCTAGCAAAAGATCTTGATGCACACTAAGGAGGGAATGTGTAAATTCTTTGTCATACATTGCGTGTTCAAAAGTGTCCTTTAACGATACATTGTTTGATTTTGAAGGAGCGTTACTATTAGTCCCATTTGTTTAAAGTTTACTCATATGAACTGTACACTCTATTTTATAATCATTATAGAAATAAATAGAGCACATTGAATGAGTGGAAGTTTAATACTAAATTTATTGAACGAGTTGAATAAAATTATGTAATGCGAGCCTCTGGCAAGCAAAATATTATATAATTCAACGAGTTCAATAACTTCACTATTTACCTCACACGAATTTAATATTCTTTTTATTACATACCAAAAATAAAGACCTTTTTTTTAAGTGAAAATAAGCCATTTTTTTATTGACGCGCCTGAAGTATTACGCTAACATTATGATATGTTAATATAACGCATATGATATCACGTCGAAATATATGCAAGGCCGTGCAATACCGCTATTACGGAGTCGCAAAACCGTTACTGGTATAAAACAAGTTTCGGATGAAACGGTACATCTCAATTACACTCAAACCAACACATGTAAGTCAAAGAGCTGAGCTTTTCGACATTGATTTGTTCAGAATCAGGTTTAAAAATAACAAATGTTTAAAAATAATTTAGAATACATGAAAATGAAATGAAAAAATATCCTCCAAGAATCTGTTTGGCATATATTTCGAGAGGGAATATGCTATATATATCGCACTGTGAAATGAGAAAGATGCAATATTTTCACGAGCGCGTATAAACAATTTTATACTTTATTTTATGCATCATAAGTAAAACAAGAGCAATTTTCGACTTTTTTTAATAAAGAGCCGGGGTAAAGACACACATAAAGGATGACGTCAGACGTTCAAAGGCTACGCGAACGCTGATAAAACAAAAGTAATTCAATATTGTAGTCATTATTGCAGAGTAACTTTTAACAATTTGAGAAAAAAATAATGATATTTGAATCGAGAAATACGCTTTTTAGAACAAAACGCAGCAATCAACTTTTAAGTAATTTACTAATTCGCGGAATCATAAAAATTAAAACGTAAGCCAAAAAAAGTTCGGCAGAGCTATACACTGTGGATGATACACTGTAGGTGATACGGACTTTGTATTTTTTTACTACGTATGTAATAATTTCAAAAATGATATTATAAAATCATCTTACCAACAATAATTATGTAACACGATAACAAGTATCATTATATTAACAACATAATCATTTTCGGGGGGAAATATGCTATATATCACACCGTCTGGTATATATTTCTTTGGGGGAATATGCTATATATCACAATGTCTGGTATATATTTCATGGGGGAATATGCTATATATCACGCTGTCTGGCATGTATTTCGAGAGGGGAATATGCTATATATCACACTGTTAAATGAGAATGATGCAATATTTTCACGAGCGCCTATCAACAAATTATTATTTAATTTTATGCGTAATAAGTAAAACAAAAGCATTTATCGACATTTTTGAATAAACGCGGGGTAAAGACACACAATGTAGTCATTATATTGCGGAAAAAATTTTTGAATCGAGAAATATGCCCTTTGGAACGAAACGCAACAATCATCTTTTATGTAATTTACAAATTCGTGGAATCATAAAATTAAAATGGATGCCAAAAATCGACAGTAAACACTGTGGATGATATACTGTATATGATACGGACTGTGCATTGTTAACTTCTTATGTAAAAATGTGACAAATGATATTATAAAATCAACCTATCAACTATATGTAACACGATTACAGTTATCATTATATTAGGTTGTAAAACGCCATTTGCTTTGTATAAGCGTAACGAATACATAAAAGTAAAATTGCTATATATGTCTGTTTTACAGTTCGTTGAACTTTAAAGAAATATGTAAATGATATCAAAAATTTGTTCTTTAAAGTGTTTGATAATTTTCTTCTTACATTAGGATTAATTTCACTGTTCACTCTATAGATAAAATATTTTCAGTCTTTGTTCAAGTATACTGTATTCATAAAGTTTTCATTTTTAAGGGTTACATATGAAACAAACGTTGAACACATTTTATGATCACTTTAATCAAGGAATTATTTGTGTTAAACATTTACACTTGCTTTTAAAAAAAACATAATTGTAAAATTTAAAAAAATGTCTCTGAACAAAAGATTTTTACAAAATTATTCGTTTCTTTTTATTGATGAATTGATGCTTTACTGTTCATTTTTAGCTTGACTAGATAGAAATGTTGAATTCGCCCCGGCGTCGGCGACGCACCTCCAAAATACACAAGAGAATTGGCTGAATTTTCAGACACTTATTTGAGAGCTTAATATGAGGTCACTATCTATACAGGACCCATAACTATAACATTATTTTTGCCCTTTTTGAACTTAAAGACAATTTCACATTATCTAGACTCTCGTTTTACTGCCAAGGACTGAGAGTAGTCGAGAACTCGGTCATCAGACAACTCTTGTTACTTTAAATTATCTGGACATTTCATAAGCTTAAACTTCAAGCTATTATGATTGCTGCGGCGTCTTTGTCAACTTTGTTGTTGCCTTTATCGCCGTGTGTAATGTTGCCCATTATTCCACTTCTCAAC